TTGCTTGGGTTTGTCAGTTGGAACCTTGACACTCTGAGAATGGGACTGACTCAAAGTTCCTCAGGAATTTTATTCCTAATCCATTACTTTCACCACTATAACACACTACTTTGCATTATGGCAAAATCTCTGGACTGTGATAGTGGGCTGCCCTCAGTCTACATGCTTTGTCTTTCTATTTTTCCTACATTTTCTTCCCCTAAAATTAATTTATGGACAATTTTCTTTACTTCTCCTTCCCTGCAATCCTCCCCTAACTTCTTAAATTTAGTTGTGACCACTATCTTCTGGTGTAAATTGTAAATAAATGGCTGCAAGTGATCGTATTTGAAGTACATCTCAATGGACAAGTAAATCTTGGGATGAAACCAGCATCAGCCAGGACATATCTAGACCCCAAATGAAATGCATTCGGAACTTACCTTCTCAGAGGAGAGCTCGGCTTCAGGTTTGAAGAGAAAGACACTCTGGTCAACGGCATGGATGGCACAGAGAGAACCGGGGAAGGCTGAAAGATGGAGTTGGGCTTTCTGGCCAGGCAGACCTTCTTGATCCGAGAACCACAGTTTGGCCTGTAAACATAAACTGGGTCTTTGAAAAGGACACTTCCACTTGGTGTGGAATGAATGGAAGGAGAATGAATGGAATGAAGTCATCCTTGTTGTCATGCATATTGTAACATTGAGTTGCCCTCTGTGACTAACCTGAAGCCACAGCTTGATAGGCTCAATGGAACTACTGGCTGATCCCCCACCCCAAATAGGCTTGAGTTGACTTCCGGTTTGGCATCATTGTGACACAATTGTAGGAACTGGGGCTCAGCTAACCTAGGCTGAACTCTCTTCATTGGGGGACCCTTAAAGGGCTAAAGTCACCTTGGAGAGGTGACGAAGAAAGGAGGGACGCCTCATAGATCACAGAGAGTCACAACTCTCCTGCTTGATCTGAGGCTTATCCTCCTTTCCAGCAATGAAGAAGGGATATTTATGATATTGTTTTAATTGAAATATTAAAATGGAGAAGAGAGGAAGGCTAGAAATAGAGTATCTACCAATATAAGGTATGTGATATTAAGATATAGAATAGAGGTAGAAATTAGAAAGGCGGGGGAGATAATTATGCATATTTCTATACAATATGTTACAATTAGTGGGTAAATGAAAGGACCAGAAGTTGAAAGATGGGTGTATTATGTACAATGTTATTATAATAATGTGAGTAGGATTAATGTAATTAAGGCTATCAAAATTGTTAAAAAGAAAAAAGGCTTAAGTTTAGCTGATGTTTCAGGTTTTCTTTCCATTGCCATTTGGTTATGACCCACTGAGATACCGGCATTCAAGGGAACAGGTCTGGCCAGGATATAACTGATTCAGTGGAGGGATTCAAAAATTTTTATTACCAGTTCTGTGGGTATGACTTGGTGGGCATGGCAGGGGAAGGATACTGTAAAATCTCCAGTCAGAGGTAGTATTTGCCAGTTCTCCGAACTACTAAAAATGTCCACTACCGGTTCTCCAGAACTGGTCAGAACCTGCTGAATACCCACCTCTGAACTGATTACATCAGCCTGGACAAGCAGATAGCAAAAGGGTAACTCAAGAGCTATTTCTGAAAGGATCAGAAGCAAACAAGGCTTTGTGGATATTAGCACCAGTAGAGTTGAGGAGCAGCAGCTTAGAGAAGACCTGTTCTGGATCATTAAGATTCTGCCTTTCTTTAATAGCACAACACAAAATGTACAACTTTACCTTGTGGGAGAAGCACGTTTCTACGGTGAAGTCTCTCAAGCCAGCAACGAGTTCTCCACTGGGCAAAATGGTGTAGAGGAGCAAGTGGATCTTGGGAGCAGTGTCGACATCCACCAAGAGATTCAAAAGGAAGTCCCCTTTGGTTTCTAAAGGATGAAAATCCCAGGTGGAGGAAAGAGAGAGATCAAAAGAGACATATAAATTTTGATAGATGGATGGATGGATGAAATAAGTTCCAGTTGGAATACATCAGACTTCACCAGGGTGATCCCAACAGGCTGGGAAATGTGAGTCAAAAATGGATCATTGAAGAATCAGGAGCAGAAGGACTTTAGCTGCTGTTTTCTTTTCAGATGTGAGGGTTTGCCTTCTCCTCCACAAGAACTTTTAGGTTTGTGGTCAGAATGATCAAATTAGTGGTCTCTCTTGTTTCAGGGATCCATGAAACAGCAGGTGAGCCTACCTGCAGTAACCTCTCCCACTGCACAGGAGAGCAATGGACATAAAACAGGCCCTGTGGCACACACCAGAGTCCTTCAACCCTTTGCCATCCTAAAAACCCCAAACGCTGCCTCAGACCCATGAGTCAGTGCTGTTAGTAGTGCCTTCCCATGGCTCTCCAAGGTTTCTGGAAACCCTGGATTGATCTTGGGGTCTTCTGTGTACCAGGTGATTGGGAACTCAATCCCATTCTCTATCCTTCATTCTTCCATTTTGCATGTTTTTTTTTAATCCCTGAAAACAAAGTCACACCCAACATGCCATCCTGCTAACTACAAGAGACTGAGCCCCTAATCCTCTGTGGGACTCTAAGAAGGGCCTGTCCCAGAGGAAAAAGCATAGGCATCTGGGCAGCCTTCTACTGTAGTTGCAAAGAGACATCACTGGGATGCCCAGCAAAAAACTCAGGATGAAGGAAGTGACTGCAGAGATTTGGGAGAAATGGCCTGTTCCTACCGCTTGAGTGCATCCCTTTCCTCTGCCCAATGGCATGGCTGGCTGTGGGTGTGCCCAGCTTCCATGCCCTGCCAGTGTGAAATCAGATATAGTGAACCCAGCTGTGAATGGGAAAAGGTTTTGGTGAATGGGAGAGGTTTTTCAGACATACAAGGGGTACTCAGCATTCGGCAAGAGAGAACTAGATCCCCATAGATGGAGACACCCCTGGAACATCTGGGAAGCTTTTTGCCAAGCAGGAAGGGGGGAGTGTAATTTGCAGGGAGAACATTTACCTGTTCCCTGTTCCACTGGCTGCCTGTGTGTCCCTGTTCGGATGATGTCCCCCTTAGCCTTGACCTGCAGGGAAAGAAGAAATTCCTGCTAGATGTGCTAGGGCTTGGAGAAATCGATTCATTAATTGATTGATTGATTGATTGATTGATTGATTTGCAACTCTGAGCACTGGCTGTCATGTTAGATATATGGACCCCTAGAATTGTGAATTGTCTAGTTTGACCTTTAGATTGAAACAATAATAATAATTCACCCATGGCGTTAATCAGGAATCTGGTGAATTTGATGATTGTCTGAAGGGAACATATTTTGAGATGGCAAGGCTAAAATTCAGGCCCAATGGAGGCCTTCGTGGCCTTGGAAAATCCCAAAGGAAAAGACTAACTAGCCTGTGGATTAAGCATGTGACCCAAACCACAGAAGGCGTGCTTGACTATTTTTATTATTTCTATATCTTTTCTATTGTATGCAAGCTCCCCTTATGTAACCAAGCAAAAGCAAAGAAATGTATAAATATCTGCCTCACACTGTGTTTGGGATTCCTCCACCGTTAGGGAGCACCATCTTTATTTAGCTGAATAAACATGTTTGCCTTATCAAGACTAATCCGGATTCTGTCTTTTATTTTTTACTGAGTCATGCCTACAATCCTGCATAACAACGGAATTGCAGTATGTTAGTTAGCAGGTACAAGATGTGGCTAAAGCAATTGTTCTGAAGTATGCAACTCGGGACAGTGCCAAAGGAATTGAGAAGCTGAAATGTTACATCTAGACAACGTTGAAAAACCACCATACAATCTAAAACCATCTCCATCAATTGGACCGGACGGAATATGTGTCTCCTTCTTAAAAAACCTATCCACTGCCATAGCCGAACCTCTAAGCATAATCTTTGAAACATCTTTCAGGACCAGCTACTTGCCAAAACTATGGTCTCAAGCCACGGTCATCCCACCTTCAAAAAGTGAGACCTAGCTTAGTTGATATTTACAGACAAATCTCTTTATGCTGCTTCACTTTTAAAGTCATGGAATCAGTTATTAACCAATCCATTATCCTCCACTTAGAGACAAACAACCTACTCTCTAATGAACAATTTGATTTCAGAAAAGACTATCCTGCAATCTGCAACTCTTACACTGCAGAAATATATGGACTACACAACTCGATCAGGGCAAAGCAATAGATGCAATCTACATGGACTTCTGTAAAGCCTTTGATTCAGTGGTACACGACAAACTACTCCTAAAACTAAAATCTTATGGTATCTCTGGACACCTGCATAACTGGATAAAAGGATTCCTTCAAACAGACAACAAATGGTTAAAATTGGGAGCGTCTTATCAAATTCTGCACCTGTCAACAGTGGTGTCCCTCAAGGCAGTGTTCTAGGACCAACTCTCTTCATACTCTACATAAATGACCTCTGTAATCATATTAAGAGCAACTGCGTTCTCTTCGCTGATGATTAAAGCTATTCAACACCACAGATAATACTGCTACTCTTCAAAAAGACCTCGACTATGTATCAGAATGGTCAAACAAATGGCAACTTCAAATCTCAACAAATAAATGCTCTGTCTTACATATTGGCAAAAAAAAAATCCGAAAATAAAATACGAGCTAAATAGTCAAGACCTTGTTGATGATCCAAACTCTGTCAGGACCTTGGAGTTCTGATCTCTAATGATCTAAGTGCTAGAGCCCATGTAACTACATAGCCAAAAAGGCATTAAGCGTTGTTAACCTAATCCTATGTAGCTTTTTCTCTGGTAATATCACACTACTAACTAGAGCATACAAAACATTTGCTAGACCAATACTTCAATACAGCTCATCAGTCTGGAACCCTCATTACGTATCTGATATTAACACAGTTGAGAGAGTCCAGAAAAATTTCACAAGAAGAGTTCTCCTCTACTTGTTGCAGAATACCTTATGCCACCAAACTTGAAATTCTAGACCTAGAAAACCTAGAATTACGACCCCTTCAGTACAATCTAAGTATAGTACATAAAATTATACATTGCAATGTCCTACCTGTCAATGAATACTTCAGCTTCAACCATAACAACACAAAAGCACACAATAGTTACAAATTCAAGGTAAACCACACCAAACTTGATTGCAGGAAATACAACTTCAGC